CCTCCTGTATGAAGACAGGCTGAGGAAGCTGGGGCTGTTCAGCCTGGAGAAGAGAAGGCTCCGTGGAGACCTCATAGCAGCCCTCCAGTATCTGAAGGGGGCCTATGAGGATGCTGGGGAGGGACTCTTCATTAGGGACTGTAGTGATAGGACAAGGGGTAATGGGTTAAAACTTAGGGGAAATACAGGTTAGACATGAGGAAAATCATCTCTGTGAGGATGCTGAGGCGCTGGCACACGTTGTTCAGAGAAGCTCCATCCTGGCAGTGCTCAAGAACAGGTTGGATGGGACCTGGAGCAACCTGCTGTAGTGAAAGGTTTCCCTTCCCACAGCAGGGATTGGAACTGGATGAGCTTTAAGGTCTCTTCCAACAGAAACCATTCTATGATTCTATAAATGTGAGCAGACTGTAACCAAAACACAAGGCCTGGGAAACAATAGCTATTGGGGGAGAAATGTCCCATTTATCTGTACAGTGTTAACTCAGGCATCCAACAACATGTCAAAGGCTATTAGCTGCTTCACTGCTAATTTGGGAACCGAGCACACAGGGTATCACATCGTTCCACACCACTTGCTGTGAGTGGTATCTCCTCTTGGTACCACAGTAGATAGCATTTGGGAGACACCAAATTACCTTTTGTGAAGAAAAAGCTATGTGAGGATATTCTCTTGTCATACTGGTACAAACTGCAGCATCTTAAGAAAGCTCAGGAGGTTTCCACAATTTTATCTCTAGGATAAGCACAATTTATCATAAGGGAAAGGCTCCCTTGGAGACTCAGTTTGTAGAGATGTGAGAGTAGCACAGCTTCTCTAAAAAAATCAATTCATAGTCTAAAGGAAAATGAAAGAAAAATAGAACTTTCTCAATATAGCTACTTCCTTTGGTCAATGCAGTCTCCGTTTCCAGGCTTCTATCAAAAACACAGAACCCTTAAAAAGTCCTACCTCCATTTTCACAGAATTCCATTTTCTTTAAAAGTTGTCCAATTGTTCAACATTTTAAAGAGAAAAAAAGTGTGTATTGCCAGAGTATATAATAATAATAACAATAATAAACAATTTCCTGCAAAAAAGGGTATTTTCCATTTTTCTACTTCTGTAACCACACCTCAACGTAACACAGATTGGGTGTTACGACATGATGGTAGTAAATGAACTCCAAAATTTGTTGCTGCTATTTCTAAGAGGTTCTTGGGGTTTGCCTGCTTTTGTTCTTAAGAAGTCAGTAACATTATCAGTTACTGAGCAGATTTTTACAGGGAGAATCAACAGGGCCTCATAAGGAGTCAGAAGTGATGGCAAACATAGGGAGCAGCACTAAGGACTGTATCACAGTTACTGAACCAAAGACAGGCTGGATGGGGCTTTGAGCAACCTGGTCTAGTGGAAGGTGTCCCTGCCCATGGCAGGGGTTGGAACTGGATGAGCTTTAAGGTCCCTTCCAACCCAAATCATTCTATAATTGTACGATACGAAAGGAAACAAGAGGAAGAGCGCCCAACTCTTACACTTACATGCACAAGCTCTCACTTGCTCCTGCGTTCCCAGCTCCCAGACCTATGCTTTTCCTACTCTAGACTCTGCCTCTGCTTTCTGGTGTCAGGGAATTCAGCATTATTTATTATGCTCATGTTCCTTTGCACAGTGTGCCCAGTGGATTTGTTTGGAGTCCACGCTTACTTCCACAAAACAGGCAGCTTCTGTTCATCGCAAGGGACAGTTGCACCAGGAAACAAAAACCAAACCTCAGGGGTGTTTTCAGCCCTTCTCCTTTGCTGGTGCATGTTCTGACCCATCCCTGCTGCCTGTAGGAGCACCTCAGCCTTTAAAACACCGCCACACATAACCATTGCTCCTATGGGCTCAAATGTTTCAACTGCCTTTGGGCATCATTGGACTGTGGTCATCCCTAGTTGTGGTCATTGAGCAGAGCAGAGGAAGCTGGTGGCCCAAACTGGAGCATGCCACTCAGCACATAGCAGGAATGGACCAAGCACAGGCTGGGAGCAGGAAGTTCAGGTCTCTGCAGCCCCATGTCCTTACCTAGCACAGTGCAATTTAGTGCCATTTCATAAACCACGTTTACGGGCAGTGGGGAGAAACAGAAGCCCCAGTTCAGCAGCACTGGTTTTGTCCCAGATCTTGATCAAAAACCATAAAATTCTGGTGGAAAAAGGTTTTCACCTCTTAACATTGAAATAGGCGTTTGAAATTTGGTGGGGAACACCCTGAGAGCAAAAGGCAGGATCCCCATGTCAGAGTCCAGGCGTGCTTGCATCAGCACTGGAACATACACTGAATAGACAGTAGATTGCGGATGAAAAGGGACACAGAGGGGCACTCTGTGCCTCTATGGCTGAGAATCCTCTTAAGCAAGGAAAAAACAAAAGGCAAGGAGGATTATTAATGAGTTCAAGACGCATAAAAATGTTCCAGTCATGGTAGCTGAGCCTCATTTGCTCTCCCTGCTTTGCCTAATCACCTACGCTGTGATAGTGGAGCCGAAGCAAAATCTTTTACACAGACCAATGTATACATACACTTTACTTTTGCCCAGAGCTTCCACAAAAGCAGAACAACTTCTGGCAAGAAAAAAAAAAAAGAGGGGAAAAAAGGAAAAAAAAGGGGAAAAAAGGCAACTGTAAAAAATCAATTTTTAGAAAGAATGTAGCATGATGCCATTTTCCTTATATGGGAACTGGTATCCCATGTGGAGGCTCAAACAATAGCCAGCTTGGCAGGGGGGGGCAGTAAGAAGATGACTTGAGGGGGGAAAAAATTATAGAGATATATATTCCCTGCTGGCCCTCACCCTCCATTTCCTCTTGGATTTCTTTGTGACTGCACTGAAAGGGGTCAATGGCTCCCAGCTTGAGAAAGGCAGCTTTTGAAAGGACTATCGCCAGCATCTGTATTTAAAGCATGCCTTTTACTTCACAGCCTCCCCCCCCCCATAGCTAATGCAGAGCTTTTAAGAAGCGAGCAGCAAGATAAACTTGCAGGGAGAAGGAGAAGGGAAGAGTAGAAGAGGAACAGTGCATGTCTGCCTTGGGTTTGCTGACACTTTTGCTGCAGTAAAGCTTGATTGGCATGCAGGGACAGGAAACATAAGCTGCAGATGATCTAAAGCGCTACGGATCATTACACCTTGCTTCAGTCGCCACCTCCCCATCCTTTAAAGCCTGCTACAAAAGCACATGAAGCAGCCAAGCTCCAGGCTGGAAAAGGATTCCAACTGATTAAAAACAATGGGCAAATTAGCACTGGACTCACTGAACACATCAACCATTCACACACATCACATTTGCAACTCTATCTTCAGCGTGTAGGAACTTCTGGTCCTACAAACACAGGATTTAAATAGGCTTGATTCATTTATCTTGAAAATGAAAGACAGTGGCTAAGTTTATATTTAAGGTTTCTATTTGAGGGAATGCACAGGAAAAGTTAGAGCCATGGATTTACTGGGAGGGAGGAAGAACAGGACTGGATCCTCCTTTCGTGCCTGTGGACACAGCCCATGTGGAAGCCTGGCACCTACACAGGTTTTCAGCAGCCCTGGCTCTGCTTTGCATTGCAACCTAGTTCAAACGTCCAACTGCAATTATACTGCAGTTGCTTTCTGTATCAGGGTATGGTTTTAATTCACTTTGGAAGAGGATAAATCCAAGTGTCCACACGAAGAGTTCCTACAGATCAGCTGCTGCTCCAGGTCTAAACAGGCCAAAACTCCATCCATGTGCTTTAGAAACCCAGTAACAGTTCTTATTACTAAAGCTTTTCTGAATTTGAGGGGCAAAATGGGTGAAGAAGGAAGCTCCACTTTGTGTTAAGTGGAGACAGACTAATAAGACCGGTTATGGTTTTTCAACTCCAATTTATCTGACCTTATTTGAGAGTAAACACCAGCAGACACCTCAGCATCACAGGCAGCAAACAGCTATTTCATACAGCTCCTACCAAATTGTCCGAGAGATGAACCAAAAATGAGGCAGAGAATGCACCAGAAACTGAGAAGTAAATTGCCTCTGAGAGTCTCCAGCACAACCAGCATTTCACTTCAGTTTCCAATCATACCATCTTTCTCACAGGCATTCAAATACATTAGGCTGTGCCTTATCAGATCCTCCATTATGACTGTAGAAAAGTCTGTGAACTCTCTAGTTCAGAGACGTTTATGGGGCTGTAATAAGCACTGACAGATAAGCCACACTCATGCACACAAGCTTGCAACTGGTTTAACACAATAAAGCCCTCAGCTTTCATAAATACAGCATAGGAAACAGAATCCTCCCATCGCCTACTACTAATTGCATCGGCAGTGGTCAGGGGTTGAAAGAGAAGTAAGCAGGTTAATTCTGTTAGACTGTGCAACAGTATCCCAAGGGGACAAGGGAAAATCCCATCATTTAGAACAGGACTGGTAGACGCTGCTGGGAATGATGTTACATACTAGTAGGGGATTAAGGGTTTGGACTAAAGGGTTTTGTCTTCTCTAGGTCTGGTTTCCACCAGTCATAGTGATTAGAACTGTTTGTTTGCTTGGGGCCCTTTTCAGTTTTGGGTGACCTGAAACATCTCGCCTAGTTGAAAACTAAATGATCAGATTAATTTCTCACTTAACCCCTTCCCCTCAACATATGTTCCTTTATCCCTTAAAAAGCTCTCTGTTTAAATTTAGGTGATTTTCAATATAAAATTGCTTTAGAACAAGAGGTCCAAATATTGTTTTATTAATAGATCATATGCAACATTTTGCTTTTTTCAGCATATTCCTCCAGCACTTTCAGCCTATATTTATCTCAACCATATGAGCAATCTGTACATTTTTGCTGAAATATATTCCCTGTGCTGTAAATACAATGCAGTTTCACCCTAACAGATATAGCAGGCAGAGGTGACAAAGCCCCTCTTGAGCCAAATGGATGGAAGAAATTCCTCTGCTCAGTCCATTGCAGCCTGCCCTGAGCATTAGGAGCACCATCTGCCTTACCTGCGTGCTGCTTTGAAGGGGCAGAACTTCAGAGAAACACTTGTTCTCCTCAAGAAGTCAGGTCGTAATACACATGCATCAGGCAGGATCCTTGCTCCAGGTCCTTAGTGCCGTGATCCAGCCTGGTCAACCTGTCAGAAATAGCCATGAGAAATACATGAGACACATGGCTCCATACTGGGCTTGAGTAGAAGACTGTGACCTTGCTTTACAAATTTCTTGCTTAGGTAAAGATGGCAGAAAAGGACTCTTCATCAGGGACTGTAGTGATAGAACAAAGGGTTGTGGGTTCAAACTTAAGCAGGGGAAGTTCAGGTTAGATATAAGGAATAATGCACAGGGTGTCCAGAGAAGCTGTGGCTGCCCTATCCCTGGCAGTGTTCAAGGCCAGGTTGGACACAGGGGCTTGGAGCAAGCTGCTCTAGTGGAAGGTGTCCCTGCCCATGGCAGGGGTTGGAACTGGATGAGCTTTAAGGTCCCTTCCAATCCAAACCAATCTGGGATTCTGACAGGACAGGACCAACAGGAAGAGATGCAGCAAGCCCCCTGAAGGCAAGTGCCAGAACAGAGGATGGAGTAGTGCATGTGTGAAAAAGCAAAGGTAGTTGAATGTTTAACACACACACACACACACACACACACAAACTCCCATATTATATGAAACAAATAAGCACACACATGTTCACTTGCTGGATAGACGTTAGAGTACAACTGTACCCTGAATGGCGGGAGCCAGAAAAGACTGAGGATGAAAAAGAGGGCAAAGTGATGGAGCTGAGAGGCAGGCAAGGGTGGGATGAAGATGCCAACAAAGCCAGGAGGAGAAGAGTTCAGTGGGAGATGCTCAGGTGGCAAAAGCATTAAGCAAGCAAAAGAAGGTAAGTAGGAGCCTACAGAGAGGCAGGAATGGCCAGTGGGAACACAGGAGGGATCATGCCAGATCTTGTCTGTTTTCTCCTTGCAGAAGTCAGGCAGAGCCAGGGCACAGAGGTGGAGCCAGCACTTAGAGCAATCACCCCATAACGGCTTCTCTCTGGAAAACAGCACCGAGCCTGGATCTCGTTCTCCCTGACAGCTCCAATTCAGATATGAGGCTGGCGCCATGCAAATCCATGTCAGGGTATTACTTCTCTCCTCCCCAGTCTACCTCGCTGCTTTGCTTTCTTTTGGAACCAAGCCCCTTCGCTCTGCCCAGCCTCTCTAGCAACCCAAAGCCAATGCCATGTGTCCACATACAGGGTGAGGGAGCATCAGTGCCCCTACACACAAGACAACACTTAGAAACTCCTTTAGGGTCAAAAAGAAAAGCTAGGAAAGAAGGTCCTTTCACAGCATCTCCTTCCATCAGCCCTGAAAGACACTGAGACAGGGCTGCAGCTGGACATGCCCAGCTCCCATTCTCTGTCATGCTCGCTGGAGGATAAAGCCATACTGAGCTGGACGAACATTCCTTTGTCCATCCACTAGATGAAAAAGCAACTAACGATAATCCATCTGGGAAGTGCTAATGTCACACCAGACCACATGAAAGGAAATTCCTGCCATGCATGTGGGTATCAGCCCTCTGTCAGCAGCCCTCTGATCCTCTCTGCAAGGTACTATATCACACTGCCCCAGGACAAGCAGCAGGTCATGGGAGGGAATTCTCCCCCGCTATTACTCTCACATGAGACCCCAACCTGCAGTCCTGCATCCAGCTCTGGGGCAACAGCACAAGAAGGACATGGAGCGGTTGGAGTGAGTCCAGAGGAGGTCACAGAGATGCTGCAAGGGCTGGAGCAGCTCTGCTCTGGAGCCAGGCTGAGAGAGCTGGGCTGGGGCAGCCTGGACAAGAGAAGGCTCCTGAAGGGGAGACCTTAGAGCAGCTCCAGTGCCTAAAGGGGCTGCAGGAAACCTGGAGAGGGGCTTTGGACAAGGGCCTGTAGGGCAGGCCAAGGGGAATGGCTTTAACCTGCCAGAGGGGAGACTGAGATGAGCTCTTAGACAGAAGCTCTTCCCTGTGAGGGTGCTGAGGCACTGGCACAGGGTGCCCAGAGAAGCTGTGGCTGCCCCATCCGTGGCAGTGTTCAAGGCCAGGTTGGACACAGGGGCTTGGAGCAAGCTGCTCTAGTGGAAGGTGTCCCTGCGGGTGGCAGGGGTTGGAACTGCTCTTTGAGGTCCCTTTAACCCAAACCATTCTATGATTCTGTGACAAGGGAGAGGCTCCGTGGGACACAGGAGCACAGCACAACACATCCAGCCACAGACCCCCTGCTGAAAAGAGCTCTGCAGCCTTATATGCACCAGAGGAGGAACATGGTGTAGTGAGCAGAACAGGGCCCCACCAAACAGGCACTCAGACAGATGTTCTCCTTGCCCCTGTCTCTAGAGGGCTCACATGCTTTCAGCTGAGCTTCATCCTTCTGTGGGTCTTTGTTTAAAGCCTCTTCCTTGCTCTGCTCAGTCTGGCATTTCAAATACATGCATTCTTGTTAAAGAAGAAGGGGACGTATTCAAGAGGAGCAAGTGCTTGCATGTAGAAAATGTATACATCCATGTACTGCTGCGCAGGACAAAGTGCTGCCTAATAGAAATCCATCTTATCGAACATGGTCCTGCTTGTTTTAGACATGTGGTATTGGATAGGAACTCCTAGCCTCTGGAAACAATGAGGAAAAACAAGACTAATTTATTCAGGTTTGTAAAGTGCTCTGAAACCAGAAGATGGAAAGTGTCATTGACAGTCATCAAAAATTTGATCAATGGCATCTTTAATACCAATTTTCCCTTTCCATTATGGAAGAACTATGATGCCCATACAGGCAAACCCCATTCATTCCCTATTACTCTTCCAGCTGATGCACCATTGTCAACAGAAGCAGAGAGCTCTGACATATTTAAGGTCACTAACACTGTATTTAGCCTTCTGTGCGTACTTGCTCATATGAGAGATTTCAATCAGCTCTATTCAAAGAACATTAAACAACAGAAGACATCTCAGGTCACCTAAAACCTCCCCTCCCGTGGAGGATCATGACTCTCCCTTCCCCTCACTTAGTTTGTATCTAATCCAATTGAGAATGTCTCAAGCAGCGGAATTATTCTCTTTCTTAGAATCTAAGTCTGACAGAGAGCTGTCTTCAGGACTTGTTGCCTCCATAAACAGTCTGATTATGGGTTTTAACCACGATTCCTTTGTACCCCACTAGAGCAAAAGCAGGAGCATGTGTGAAATGTGAATAAAGACATTAAAACCCATGCTTATGCAGAGTGATTGAGGGACAGCAGCATCACAGGATCCAATACTCCTTTAGCCCCATAGGTGCATTATCAATAGAGCCAGGGGACTATGGGTCATCTGGGCTCAATACATTCTTAATATGAAAACAAAACCAAACAGAAGCTTAACAAGGAATTTCTCCTGGTTAGTTGCCCTGCTCTTACAGTCTCTCTGATCACTGCTGGATGCTATCAAACACAAGAGCTTGGCTTAGACAAGATCTGACCCAACCTCGCAGCTCATGGGTGCCCCTTCCTCAACACTGCAGTGTGATATACCCTTGGGGCTTTACGTCCTGTTGCTCCTGAGGTTGGTTTGACTTAAGGGGTACAAAAGACACTGCTGGAATTAAGCTTTATTATTATTATTATTATTATTATAACATTTTAAATGCAGCCCTCATCACAGCTTCCTCCCACTTCTTCAAAGTTTGTTTGCTTTGGGGCCCCAATGGTTTTATAGCTTACAAATTCCTTCTTTTTGTTGCCTTCTATACTTCTACAATCATACACATGTTTGTCTAAAGGCACTTAATCAAGCATAAGGAACACGAGTTTGCACTATTCAGAGACACGGAAATCAGGAGGAACACAAAGCATTCCCATTTTACATTTTATACATCACAAGCAACACCAAAACAGATGTAAAACGAGCCAATTCCTCATTACGTTTTCCACTTCCCATAACACAAATCTTTGTGCATTAAACACAACTGAAAGTGAGCTGTGGAGTTGGCATTAGCTTGACAGATGCCGAGATGAGCTGCACCAGAAAGGAATATCTCAGCCCGAAAACAGCGCATGTTAAAAAGGCATCTGCTTATTGTTTGATGCATGTATTTATTTACACAGACAGCTCGCTGACACGCTGAAAGGTTGGGGAGGGTGGTGGAGGCTGGCATTTTTAACTCTCAGCATGCAGTTTGTTACCCTTTGGTCATGTCCCAAGCTTCCATTCTACTGCTGAATGGTGGCAAAAAGGGGAAGCAGGGTCCCCTCTGCTGTGTAGACTTGGCTCCCCTCCCGGAGCTTGCCCTTACAGCACACAAGGCAGCGCTTCCAAGTTCAGCCTCCACAAGCATGCTGCCCCCAGGGCTCCCCCTCCAGCTCCTGGGGCCTCTGTGCCTTTGATAGAGACATGAGAAGAGTCCCTCACAAGCCAGTCAAGCACAGCTTCTTGTGTATTAAAAAGAGATCTTCTTTAACAAGAAAGAAGATTAATTAAGTGGGTAAAATCCCACAGGTTGGAACAGCAGCTGAGGAATTATCTTTCTATCAGGTTGGTAATGAGGACTGGAAAAAAAAACCACCTCACACAGACATTAACAGCTTTATATGGGCTCATTGGCATTCCAGATCAGATGCGAGGCTTGGCTTTCCCAGGAGCAGCAGATGCAGCTCCAGCTACAGAATAGACTCTGGGCAAACTACAGTTTGCCCTGCTGAAAACAGCATTGCCACGATGCCTGACTGTGAAAGGCACAAACCTCTCTCGCGATTAACTTCTTTCCCCACAAAAATGATGCCCAGGGAGATAGTACGTCACAGCATCCAATGCCTCAGGTTGATCTGACGCACCTCCAAAACCTGTGTTCAGATATATAAGAGCACAATTGTGTGAGAGAGAGATTTAAATCACTATATATTGGGGAATGTGAACAGCCAGCACTTGTATAGGCGCACATCAAATGACATGATCAAGCACTGACCAAATCCACCTCTTTTACCATACTGATTTCCCTACCAGCACTGCTGGCTTCTTAATCTTTAACACCCACAAGCACTATCAAATTCTAACAAAATAATGTAGATAATTTCCCATTCCCTGCAATGGAAAAACATCCTGGTTTGGAGTCAATGACAAGCAGGGCAA